TACTGTTAGAATTCCTGAACTATGATTGTAGTCATGGGATTTTTGTCTTTCACATGACATAGTATGTTTTGACTCCACAGAGTGGGAAGTGACGGAGACAGGATGTTTGTGTTACTGTGTTCTGTGAAGTGGGACTATTGTCCTTTGTTCTTTCTCTCTTTGCTGTCTGATGCTAGAGAGAGAGGGAGCCATGTTGCAGTGCTCTGTGTGTGTTTATATGTAAATAAAGTAGATTAGCCAAAATGCTGAGTTGCTGAGGTCTGTCACGCATGAGGCGCAAACTCTGCAGATCCCTAAGTGTGTCGGTGTCTGTTGGCATCAGTCGCTGTGATGTTTGGGCTGAAGAAAGCTTTTGAAGCTCCCAAACAATTGACCAGGAGGGAGGGAACATGCCAGCTGGGCATGTGTATCTACCAGGGTCCTACTGGAGTGTAGGCTGAACACCTGACAATTTCAAGAGCCCAGTTGGAATTGAGACACTGGTATCTGTTTCTTCCCACTTGGGCCTTTTGCAACTGGGACTCAGTTGTGAACATATATTGTGCAGCAGCAACTTATCCCATGATTTTTATTTTTGACAAATTCTGTTTTATCACACCATAGCAAAAACGGACTGAGTTTGATATGAGATCTCCCCTCTCCTCTTTATGCATTAGCAGTAAAATATGTTTTGAGGTGGATGAGGCTCATGCATGTTATTGTTTATTTTTCACACAGGGGAAGCTCAGTGATGATGATTATTTTTTTGCAGCAGTTATATTGGCTTAGATCTGAATTACCAGTATGGAAAATGACTATCATCTACAAGCCTATTACAAGCTTTATTATGTTTTAAAGTCATTTATAACCATTAGTATCCTCTACTGAAAGACTTGGGTGTGAGTTAAAAGGCTGAATTTGTGTCAGAAGTGCTAACACACATGAGATTTCAAGAGCATGTGGATTGTAATCAACTATCTCAGAGAGATCATTATATTAAATCATTAGGGTTTGTTTTTTTAAAATTGTACTTTCTGTACTCTTTCTTTATTTTTAGGAGCTTTTCCCTTCATCTGGTCTAAAAGAAGGAGCAATCAACTATATAATTGTTGGGTTTCAATTTGTGTTCTTTAATTCTCCAATGCATATTTACGGGCAGAATTCTGTAACTAGTACAAATAGCTCCCCCCCCCCCATCTATAAATGTTGCTGGACTACAATATACATTAGCCATAGCCAACTTAGTTAGGGATGATTAGAATTATAGTCCAACAAAACCTGGGAGGCACCATGATGACATATATCAACACCAACTTTGTACTGTATTTGGTTATGGGACAACTCCCTTGACTAAAACTGGAATTGGCTAAATTTTTTTTTTAATGGTTTGTGTTAAATATTTTATTTGGTTACAAAAGTAGATCATCACCATCATCATCAAACCTTTAATGGCATCACTTGCAAACATTCAGAATATATAGGCCAATGCGATCTCGTCGCCATTTCAACAGTACAGTCATTTGCCAAAGGGAAGAAGAAGCGAGCAATCTATTTCACCTCCGTGGGACTCCAGCAAGGGCAGAGTCCTGTAGTGTACTTCAGCGGCAGAAAATCAAATAGAGGAACTTGGCTACTGTCTTGGTGAGCTCCTGGTCTCTCCCCTGTAATAAGAAGCGTATAACCTCTGTCTCTGGTTTCCATGTTGGGATACATAGGTGGTCTAAGAATTGTTGGCGGAGATACAAAAGTAGATAAAGGTAAAGGGACCCCTGACCATTAGGTCCAGTTGCAGACGACTCTGGGGTTGCGGCGCTCATCTCACTTTTTGGCTGAAGGAGCCGGCATACAGCTTCCGAGTCATGACTAAGCTGCTTCTGGCGAACCAGAGCAGCACACGGAAACGCCGTTTACCTTCCCGCCGGAGTGGTACCTATTTATCTACTTGCACTTTGACGTGCTTTCGAACTGCTAGGTTGGCAGGAGCAGGGACCGAACAACAGGAGCTCACTTTAGTATTGCCTGCAGGCATGTCCAACAGGTAGATCTTGATCTACTGGTAGATCACTGGACATCTGTGGTAGATCACTGGTAGATCACAGTAGCTCTTTCCTCCCCCCCCCAAAAAAAAGCTCAACAACTTTGCACCGAACCACCCCCCACCCCCCGGTAGATCACGGCAGTTTTTAATTCTGTGAGTAGATATACCGGTATACTGTATAAGGTTTATTTTCAGAACGAAACCAGTTTCTCTGGAGACGCTTTTCCGGGGCAAACAATCTGCAGTAGATCTAGATTGTGTGTGGTCTATGTAAATAAACAACAACCCACCAAGTATTTAGTCTCCAATGATTCCGAAGAAAATGTCATGTGTACACAACTCAAGTATAAGACACTAACGTTAAATGACTTCTGTGCATGTTCCTATAAACCAACTGCCATGAGGCTCTTTAGTTTGTTGACAGTGAAGGCCCAGAATGTCAATTAATATTCCAAGTGAGAAAACATCTCTTCTTTTTTTTTGGAAACCGGGGATCCATTCATACATCTGAGCATCACAAGCTGGGCAAATTGATGTGCTCAACCATGTAATTATGAATTTTTGAGCCATTACTAGCCACTGTACACAATGGGACGACTTCACAACTCCTAGCATATGGACCCTAAGCCTTATTTTAGCCAGGGCTTCTGAGAATTGGGACAGCTGTCTACATGCTTTTATTCCACATAGAGCCACACATGGTGCTCTCTGCAGGAAATTCGCTTCTCCAGCAGCTGCTGCTGTTTCAACAGGAGCTCACTTGACGCTACTAGCGTCTTGCCTTCCAAAAACAATATTTGCTTTTGACTCTCCCTATGACATTAAGGGTGCTGACAAACAGCCCTATCGCTGTGATATATATATATAGTGAATTGCTTACGAACTGAAGGGTGTTGGCATGCTTTGCAGAGAGAGAATGCTAAAAAAGAAACAAGAGCTGCTGGGACCAGAAACAATTTTAAAAGGCAAACTAACAACCAGGAGAAGTTTTTAATTCACAAGTAGAAGTTTAACTGTAAAGCATGCATTTAATATTGGTCAACAGATTAATCAAATTCTTGCTTTGGAGCAGAGTTTCCCAAACTTGAGTCGCCAGCTGTTTTCAGACTACAACTCCCATCATCCCAAGCTAGCAGGTCCAGTAGACAGGGATGATGGGAATTGTAGTCCAAAGACAGCTGGAGACTCATGCTTGGGAAACACTGCATGGAGTATGGGGCAAACGCGAGAGAAACTGGAGGAATAAAATACAACTTAAGGTTTATTAATGTGAACCTTTAAACCAGTGGAAGTCTTGGTTTTCAAGTGATCCAGCGCTGACTTTGAGTGGCTTGGTACAGATGATCTTTTGTGACCTGACGGCAACCCAGTGTTTCGACGGATTGAAACTGGGTAGCAAGAGCCAATCGTCTTATTACAGAGGAAGTCCATGAAAAAAGTCATATGGTACATCTAAACTTGAATGGAACTAAAGTCTGACCTGTATGTGATCGCTCACGTGAATGAAGATCAGCACATTTATTTATTTATATTTATTAAAATTGTCGGCTGCTTTATCTTGCCCAGGTCAAGCCAAAGCGACTTACAACCAAACAAACAGACAATCAACCCCATGTAGATAGATTAAAGGCAAGAGGAAAGAGAAATACATTAATCACATTCCCGCCCACGTTGGTTGTGCATAAGCAACATTGGACGCAGTGGTGCAGATGGAAGTCATCATGGATTCACTAAAATTGTGGCAGCTTTGTGGGTGAAACAAGACCAATTCTATGCCTGTTTGCTGAGAAATCTCTCATTGTGTTCAATGGGGCTTATTCCTAGATAAACATACGTATGCAGGATTGCAACCTTAAGACGATGCCTTAGGTAAAGGTAGAGGGACCCCTGACCTTTAGGTCCAGTCATGGCCGACTCTGGGGTTGCGGCGCTCATCTCGCTTTATTGGCCGAGGGAGCCGGCGTACAGCTTCCAGGTCATGTGGCCAGCACGACTAAGCCGCTTCTGGCGAGCCAGAGCAGTGCACAGAAACGCCGTTTACCTTCCTGCTGGAGCGGTACCTATTTATCTACTTGCACTGCGTGCTTTTGAACTGCTAGGTTGGCAGGAGCAGGGACCGAGCAACGGGAGCTCACCCCATTACAGTGGTACCTCGCAAGACGAATGCCTCGCAAGACAAAAAACTCGCTAGACGAAAGGTTTTTTTGTTTTTTGAGCTGCTTCGCAAGACGATTTTCCCTATGGGCTTGCTTCGCAAGACGGAAATGTCTTGCAAGTTTGTTTCCTTTTTCTTAACACCGTTAATACAGTTGCGACTTGACTTTGAGGAGCAACTCATAGAACGCGGTGTGGTAGCCTTTTTTGAGGTTTTTAAAGACTTTGGTGATTTTTGAAGCTTTTCCAAAACTTTCCCGACACTGTGCTTCGCAAGACGAAAAAAATCGCGGAACGAATTAATTTCGTCTTGCGAGGCACCACTGTATGGGGATTCGAACCGCCAACCTTCTGATCGGGAAGTCCTAGGCTCTGTGGTTTAACCCACAGCGCCACCCGCATCCTTAAGACGATGCCTTAGGTTCCTTTTAATTTGTGGTTCCCCAGCTTAGCATTTAAGTAGGGGTAGGGGTGGCCCTCCACATGTTTTTGTTGGATTTGAACTCCCATCAGCGCCCTCCAGCATGGCCAAAGATAAGGGATGGTCAGAATCCAGCAACATCTGGAGGGCAGCAGTTTCTTTGCCCCTGATTTAGAGCTTTACATTTATGAAACAAAAATGTTTCCAAGCATAGCAGGGTGAACTTAACATTCTCTGAAGACAGATGTAGGCTGCCTTTAGGGTATGTTTTTTTTAGAAGATGAGATCATTCTACGATTCTTTGAACCTGCCTTTAAGGTAATAAAGCAACTGGATAAAATCAGTTGTAGCTTTGCTGCAGGGAATTCATATTGCTGCTTACTATTCATTGTAAGGAGACGGCTGATTACATGTACGGAAGAGAACAACAGGGCAGCCCCCAAGGAATTAAAAACAAAATCCTAATGTTGCAATCCTATGTGCACCTAATTCTATTAGAATTCTATTTCACTTCTAATTCCATTAGGTTCCAAGGGGCTTACTCCCAAGCAAATCCCTCTTTAGCCATTCTCCCTCATGTAAGGAGGAGACTGGAGACAAGTCCATTCATCCTGTCTGCTCCTTGCATCCTGGTCTCTTGATTCACCATCTTCTGTGTACAGTGGTACCTTGGTTCTCAAACTTAATCCATTCCGGAAGTCCGTTCCAAAACCAAAGCGTTCCAAAACCAAGGTGCGCTTTCCCATAGAAAGTAATGCAAAATGGATTATTCCGTTCCAGACTTTGAAAAACAACCCCTAAAACAGCAATTTAGCATGAATTTTACTATCTAACGAGACCATTGATCCATAAAATGAAAGCAATAAACAGTGTACTGCAGTCACACAATCAATCAATCAGGAGCTGAACTGGGTTCCACACAGTCACAAAAACAAAACAAAAAGAGCTGCAAAAACGAAAAGGCAAAATAAATAGCAAAAACAGACAGACCTCAGCGTAACACTCAAAACGGAAGTGTGGCACTCAAAACGGAAGCATAACACTCAAAATGGAGCATGTTCGACTTCTGAAAAAAGTTCGCAGACCAGAACACTTACTTCCAGGTTTGCAGTGTTTGGGTTCCAAGTTGTTTTAGTACCAAGGCATTTGAGAACCAAGGTACCACTGTATTGGGAAAGGAACTTCTGCAATGGGAACCTGCTGTACTCATGTAAGTGGCACATGCATTATGACACTTGTCTCTCCGAGGGAGACCTCTCAAGTACAGAATGCTGGCTCCCTACTGCAGACATTCCTTTCCCAGTATTTGGAAGGCGACGGAACCAACACCAGGGACATAGTGGAAGGTATGGGACCAATGAGCTCATGAATTCCCCTCATTGCATGCAGCTGCCCTGAATGTGTGTAGAGAGCTTACTATAAGTGTGTACAACATTGCAGCCTGGCAGTGCAATCCTATATCAACTTGGAAGCAAGCCCATTAAGTCCAATGGGATTTGCTCCTAGACTAGGTAGGTGTGCATAGGATTGCAGTCTGAAGATTCCAAAAGAGGAAGGGCGCTTGCTGTTTCTCTTCTTTTTAATTTTTATTAGTTTTACATATAATCACATTTCACAGTAACATATCTTCTCATAATAACTCTTTGGCTCTGCTGAGCCTATTGACTTCCTTCCTTCCCTCCCGACTAATGGTTTACAAAATTAAATTTCGCATCTTTACATCTCACTTCGTTTCCTATCCTTGTTTTACCTAAAATATTAAATTACTCAACCTGAATAGGTAGCAATTTCATCTTACACGTCTTCAACCAACCCTGCCAGTGATGTTAATTTCTTACAGTTTTCTTTCAAATACAATACAAATTTATTCCAGTCTTTTTGAAATGCTTGGTCTTGCTGGTTCCAGATTCTTCCCGTCACTTTTGCCATTTCTGCAAAGTCCATCACTTTCATCTGCCGTACTTCTTTTGTTGGTAACTCCTGTTGTTTCCATTTTGGGCCTCGCTTCTTTTTAAATTTATGTACATTGGCAATGAATGAAATTTGTGTTTTAATAATAACACAATGCCAAGATCAAACTTTTGAAGAAGAAAAAATTCACAAAATTGAGCTGGCCCAGTGTGTGTGTGTGTGTGTGTGTGTGTGTGTGTATTTGTGCTGCTCATCATTAGTTATCAGAGAAAATGTGCAACAGATGCTGTTCCCTGTCCCTCGACACAAAACCCAAGTAGCAATCTCAATAATGATGTCCTGCACATTCTCTATGGGGTGGCATGCTTTTTTTTTAGTTCCAAAGTATTGTAATTGGAAAGCTGGGGGAAATATGATAACCCTGCACAGAAGTGCGAACCTTGAGGGCAGAGTGTGTGAAATAAATGGGAAACAACGTACATTTGTTGTTTTTAAGAAACCGATACGCTTAATACAACCGAGCTTCTTCTTCAGAATTCGTTGCAGCTCCTCTTCTGTAGTTATTACTGGAGAATGTACCCCGTTAACATAAAAAACCCTATTTATAGATCATCTGTTAAAGGCTTTAAATATTTTTTGCTGTTAAATATGAAGGTATGGAAAATTTGGCAAAATGAGGCTGTTAAAACCATATATATGACACAAAATGCTGTTTTGAATATGAATCTGTTACAGGATTAAATACAGTAGAGCTTGTCTTAACTGCATACTGCTCTACTAAAACAGAATTAAATTTATTCTTAGCGTGTGTGTTTTTAAGTAAAGCATTTCACCCTTCTAAAAAACGAGATCCTTCATTCTGGGACTATCCTGGAGTTGCGATCGTGTCTGCTGTGCTGTCTTAGCTTGCAAATCACTCACATTAGCAGTCCTGGGATTATTGCTTAAGAAAAGCTTCGCATATGATATGAATGGCAAGATATTTTTTCTCCTGCCTGTTCTGTTTGAGTAGTATAAATCCCAAATCTCCCAAACAGGGCTGGATTAAGACCTTTAGAGGCCCCAAGCATTTAAAAGATTTCGGTGTCCCCATATGTATCTAATTCAAAATATAAACAACAATAAACTGCAAAATAAAATAATTTCTTTTTGAAATGAAACAAAACCTACAACAAGATGGAAAATAATGTTTATTTTTGAATATTTGCATAAATGATGTTTGTTTCTGTTTAGATGAGCCATATGATCTGTGCTAAATCTGGCAATGGAGAATTTCTGTGGGGCTTCCCTTGATGCCCTAAGCATGTGCTTATTTTGCTTAATGATTAATCCAGCCCTGTTCCCAAAATCAAGTCGGGTCTCAGAGAGAATGACATTGGCTAAGGTACATGTACATTTGATGCTAGGACTCTTACTAGTATAACATTTATGGTATTCTCATTCATGCTGTAGGAGTGCTATTGACTGTTACATTCCACTTGTATTCATTCACCAAAAGAAGGGTCTATCTCAGTGGTAGCCACTGTGCTGCTGAGGAATATTCATAAACCATCTGACCAAGGAGGAGGGAAAGCAGATCAAGGGTAAACTGGTATCAAGTACAGCTGCAAAGGGAAGATCAATTGGGCTTCAGGAAAACTTCATATTGAACCTAAAAGATGATAAATATATGCACTTCAGGTGGAATGTGGGGAGAAGAAACCAAGAGATCAGGTGTGCAATATTTATTCAGAATATATGACTAGATCTTTGGATGCAGGTCTCTTGTAACTTTGGACTGGAGAAAAAAGCTAAAGCTAAAGGACCCCTGACAGTTAAGTCCAGTCACGAACGACTCTGGGGTTGCAGTGCTCATCTCACTTTACTGGCCGAGGGAGATGGCATTTGTCCACAGACAGTTTTTCTGGCTCATGTGGCCAGCATGAGATTAAATTGTACCTAGTAGGACCATTAATGGTCCTTCTAGCTCAGCATTGTCTATTGAGAGGCAGAAATTCTTCGACGGATTCAAACTGAGACTCTCCGTATGCACAACTGTTGAATGGACAGCTGAACTATTTACAGTGGTACCTCTGGATGTGAACGGGATCCATTCCGGAGCCCTGTTTGCATTCTGAGTAGAACTTAACATGCGTCTGAACATCTGCGCATGCGCAGGTCGTGTTTTGCCGCTTCCATGAATGCACATGACATCATTTTGAGCGTTACTTCCAGGCTGAAGCAGAGCGTAACCTGAAAATGCTCAACCTGAAGCATATTTAACCCGAGGTATGACTGTACTTTAATTTCTGAAAGGTGGAACTTCCTGTTAGGAACAAGGAAGCATGAGACCCTTTAGTTCCCTGCATTTTTCCAGTCTGTTAGAGAAACAAGAAATGGCTGGGCTCTCCTTTGTACCTCTTTTGTTTTGTAATGTGCAGAATCAAGCTACCTGAAAGCAGTGATAACCTTAGAAAAGTAAATATTACAGCAATATGTATCATAGACAACATTGTTCATTTTCTCTTTTCAGACTGCAGTCCTGCTGGCTCCGAATGACTGAATACAATAGAACCATGTTGCCTTGTGAATTTCTAGTCTTTGATTTATTGTCCAGCAATGTTCTGTTTGTCAGATTGTTACGATGTAATGAGAGGACAGCTGGAAAGGTCTGTGTGCAATTTTAGCAGCAGTCTTGTAAGGTGGCATTTTAATTAAAGCACCATTCATTAAATCAAGGTCCAATCACATGTGAACCTGGACTCAACATAGCTGTTTGAAAAGCTAATGTGTTTTGCAACTGAGGTGATCGCTGTGTGTGTGGTTCCTATTCAGCGCCTATTGTTCAGCAACAGAATATATATATGAATATGAATTTTGTGCAGAGTAGTGTGCTTCCATTGTGCACAGAATGACCAGGTGATCATGTAAACAGATATCCTTCAGATTCATTCTTAGGGTGAGCTGATAGTCCCTTGTGGAACTTTTCAGGAAAAGTAGATCAATTAGATAGGGAAGGCACGGTTGGGTTAATTTTGGATTGGAGATTTGTGAATGCTTTGATATGTCACTATCATGTCCCCTATTCACCCTCTTACTAAAAAAACACACCAAAATGTGCAAGTTGAGTCACCAAGTGATTTCAGTACGTAAGGTATACTTCATAGGAGTATAGAAAACTACTGTAAGGTAAAAGTAAAAGTAAAGGACCCCGTACCGTTAAGTCCAGTCAAAGGCAAATATGGGGTGTGGCGCTCATCTTGCTTTCAGGCCGAGGGAGCTGGCGTTTGTCCACAGACAGCTTTCCACGTCATGTGGCCAGCATGGCTAAACTGCTTCTGGCACAATGGAACACCACGAGGAAAATCAGAGCGCACAGAAACACCATTTACCTTCCCGCTGCAGTGGTACCTATTTAGCTACTTGCACTGGCGTGCTTTCGAACTGTTAGGTCAGCAGCTGGGACAGAGCAACGAGAACTCACTCCGTTGCAGGGATTCAAACCGTGACCTTTTGATTGGCAAGCCCAAGAGGCTCAGTGGTTTAGACCAAAACACCACCCGCGTCCCATAAAGGAGCATACCAAGTCAGACCATGGTCCATCTAGTTCAGTATTGTTGACATTGATTGGCAGTAGTCTTTCAGGCAGGACTCTCTCCAGCCCTACTTGGAGACACCAGAGATTGAACCAGGGCCCTTTTGCATGCAAAATAGATCCTCTTTCACTGAGCTCTTCCCTTTCATAATACAGCCCATCCCACAAGTAAGAGGGCTTTACTACCCTTGTTGCTGCTATGATGTATGCCAGGCATGTCCAACAGGTATATCGTGATCTACTGGTAGATCACTGGACGTCTGTGGTCGATCACTGGCTCCCCACCCAAGAAGCATCAGGAGCTTGTCCTACACTTGAGTAGGACCCTGGTAGAGACACATCCCTGACTGGCATGTTCCCTCCCTCCTGGTCAATCGTTCAGGAGCTTCAATAGCTTTCTTCTGCCTGAACATCACAACGACCGATGCCAACAGACATCAGCACACTTAGGGATTTGTAGAGTCT